TCAAATAGAGATCGCAGCCGATCGCTGTACTTAGATGCTGAAAGATTTGCTGGTCTGCCTGTATTGATGGTGCATACCCAAATAAAAACTGGGTACCCACCCAAATAAAAAGTGTGTGTACCCAAATGAAAACTGGGTAACCCAAATTAAAAAGTGTGTACCCAAAATTTAACGGACGTTGGTGTGCGTAATTTTGACACTAATCTCCCCCCATAGAACAGCCACTCTACAAAGATTCATTGTTTCCTTATATGTGCAAAGCATGCAAACTTTATTCATAGGACATGATTTAAAGTTGTTTTGATTGGGTGTGGTTCAACTGCATTATGGCCATCAACACAATTGCTGGGTCCAATGGCAGCTGCCATAAGGGCACTGACTAATAGGGCTGGAAAGATTACATGTTCTTCTTATAACAGTATATTACCCTCTTTATCCATTGTGATTTTAACTTGGCTTATGATAATGACGCATGTGATGTGACTGGCAGAGAATCGAGCATAACAAATATTCAGGAGTGGCGCTGGTTAACAGCTACAGTAGTGGACTAACCTGGTTGTGGTAGGTCTGGTTGATAGTCGACTTCAGTGAATGCTGAGGCTACAGAACCTGTGGAAACATGGAGTATTCAAACAAGCATGTCTTGCAATAATATGTACTGGTATTATAATTATATGTACAGAGCCAACACACAGTCTAAATGTGGACAAAGTTAGGTGAGTCATTACCATGGACAGGTGAGGAGAGGCCTGGTTGAGAGGAGGTGGCCGGACTCTGAGAGGAAGAGACTGAAACAGAGAGAGAGAGACAGTAATGAAAACTGAGGAGAAGAATCTCAAACACCCCTACCACTGGCTTCAGGTAGCTGTGGTGTAGTGTCAGGAAAGTGAGCTGCCTCCACAGTCATTGCTAGCTGAGGAAGATTGACTGCAGAACTTTTGAGGGCATCTACAATGACTCTCCAGGTTGGCCTGGGCTCTTGGTTGAGGAACATCATGACCACTTGGAGGAGGCGGTTTTCTGGCTCGGGGTACGTTGAATGGATGCCCTGAACTTGATGTGGCTTTAGATTCAGCTTCAGTCCCAGTTGGAGGACTGGTTCTGTGCTGGTAGTAGCTCCTCCAGTACTTTGACGGCATCGTCTGGAGTGAGGACCTCGCCACCGGTCGTCGGTGCTGGATAAAGCTCATGTTAGCGATCGAGGCCAATCGAGATCATTGACCTTACCTTCAGACATAATAGCAAAATCTCTGATCAAGTCAGGTACACACGACCGATGGACTATATAAATGGCAGTGCTTGTTACGCCCCCAGAGCTATATAGCTGCAGATCGCTAGACGCGCGCAAGCACAATCGAGCTCCACCCACTCTTTTGACCAGCTCCGGCGCGTGCTGAGGCGCGCGGCCTGCACGCACCGCTTTGCGCATTGCCTGAGGCTATTTGTCGGTGTTGAAAAATGCAGAGTATACACTGCGGCATCCCAGTCATAGAGTGTAGTTATCTTTATTAAGGGTCTGTTTCCAACATTGTTTATATATATACGGGGGTGTAGTTTGATAGTAATGTCTTCACTTTCGAGATTATCAGATGCAGCCGTTGACGTTATGGCAATAATAACCTACTGATGTGACTTAGCAGCACTATGAAGAATTGCAGCCGGAGTTGATACTGTTGTCGAGTGTCTCTTGTCTCTTTCACGAGATTGCTGCAATTCCACCCTCTCTCTTCTCTCCATCTCCCTTCCCCTTAGCTATAGCTATACCCTTTCTAAAGCCCTGTCAATTTGCAATTGGCAACATCACTATCATGACAGTGCTAGCTATCAGAAGCTTATGTGATTAGCTATATTATACTTGCCACTGCAAGGCAGATGAAAGTGAAAAAGTAAACCAGAGATTTAAGATGGTGTATAGCTAATCAGTGGTATAATTATAGCTAGCTAGTATAGCTATACAGTGGGACCTCTAAATAATGAAAATATTGGGACAGCTATTTTCCCCCATTATTCGGAGCATGGCTAAATGAGGAGTTGGGTAGGCATAGGGGGAGGGAGGGGATGAAGGAGTGCCTGTTGTGTGATGATGAGTGTGAAAGTGTGAGTCATGTGTTGTGGGAGTGTCCAGCTTATAATAGTCTTAGGAGCAATTTCTTAGTTGCCCTGCAGGGGAAGCTTGGGGATGATGGGTTTGAGCATTTCCGGTCGCTTGATAGTTTCAGGAAAGCATCCTTTATATTGGGTAGTGAGTTGTGGGAGGATGAATTTGGTTCTTTGCTTGGCCTTGTTAAAGTTTTATTTTGGATGTTTGGGAGCTAAGAAAGGTTAGGTTATACGGCGATAATCCCAACGTAGCAGGGTGTTGTGGGTGGAAGGGGTGAGTTGAGGTGTCTGGGAGGTGAGACAGACACCTCATGTTCATATGGCGTATGTTTGTTTGTTAACGGTTCCGCCCATTGCTCTGGGTGCGTGGTCTATGGCCCTAGTGCTATGGCAGCCACCAGAGTATTATGGTTAAGATACAGCTCAAGAAATTAGGAGACACACACTGCTATAAAAAAAAACTATTCACCTCTCAGGCTAGAACTTCATATGATTCTGTGGTCGACAATTTAGCTCGACATTTCTTAAAAGAAGTTCAGAAACACTAGAAAAACCTCCAATAGCAGGACAGTAAAATCAGTAGCAAAGACACCTTTATTCCAATACCATGAGCATCGAGACAAGGCCGTGTAGCTAGTCATGTGTTTGCTGTTATACACGATGCTGGCAAATAGACAGTGTTGTCCTGATTGAAACCCAACTGATTTACCGGTTGTTTGGTCATCACTGTCGGGGTATATGGTAAACATCAACGTCCACCTGTTTTATCTCCACTGAGAGATTGTAAGTGAGAGTCACAACTTGTGGAACTCTGAGTTGAAGTAGTCGTTTAACGATATTCATAACACAAGGTTTGTGGGTAGTGAAACTCCGTTTTTACCAACCCGAATCATGTGTCCTACCGTCCTTACACTTTGGATCAAAATGGAGGCTGTTTTCCACAATCTTGATTGCATAGAAATAGGCTGTGTTGCTGTATTGATTGCCTAAGGCTTGGAAGGAGATGGTGGAATGTACAGATATCAAGAATTTCCTTTTGACATAGTCAGCAGTGAGTTCTCCAGACAATAATAGAAAGAGACAGAGTATGAATAATGAAACAGGTCCTGTGCACCTATTATGGCTCTTCTGGAGATACAAGCCCTATATAGCTTATAATCACGACAATGGGGACATTTTACTATTGCCATTTGCCGTAACATTGCACCTCTTTGGCTTACTTACACAGTGTAATAACTTTACCATGAGGTATTATAGCTATTGTAGGCTCGGTGCTGTTAGCCACACTTTTGCATAGTAATTGTAGTATTTTTTGTACAAAAATAATAAGCATGTTTTATATTATTAGCACAAGGTTACAACAAAAAGAGAGATCAATCCTCATTAGTACTTGTCAGTGGTTTATATCCCCGCATATTACAGTAAGACACTAATTTTCTAACAGAAACGTAAACAAATATTTCACACAACAAGACGACAACAAAAAATACAAGCAGTGCAGTTGTGGTAATTCCAACACCAGCATCAACACGAGGCTTTGCCTGTATTTCTAGAGTGGTGTAGTGTTGAGATGTGGCATTACTGCTAGTTCGGATATCAACAAACAGACAGTGTTGTCCAGTTCCGAGTTCAACTCTATCCCTAATCGTTTGGTCACTATTACTGGACTTAAAGGTTCCTAAAAGTGTGGTATTGACAGCATCAACATCTATCTGTTTGATGTTCTCAGTAATATTGTACATGAGAGTGATACCTTTGGTAGCAAGAAGTTTATTGTGTAGTAGTCACTTTGCGAGAGCACCAGAGATATGTTAGTACAGTTTGTAAAGCCATTGTTCCCCACTAGAATATGCTTTCGATAGTACTCTTTAGATGGATGTTTCGGGTCGAAATTAAGAAATTTCTCGACAGTCTGAAGTATGTAGAGAATAAGAGGATCATTATCAGGGCTTTCTGTACTAGCACAGATGTTGAGTGAGATGATAGAATTTTTCAGCATGTACACGGGACCATAAGGGGGCTGAGAAGTCTCATTGTATCTTTCGGTTGTTACAACAATTGGCAGGTTACTGCAAGCAGTATTTGAGAGGAAGACAAACACTGTGTGCAAAGAATCGTAGAGGTCACTTTTAACTAGTTGATTGACATTGAATTCCTTCACAAAGAATGAGTCATACTCAGCAAGAATTGGCACGTTTCCTTCACATTGTTGGACATCACGAGGAGATGATAAGTCGTGGAGAGGGGCCCAGACATACTTGGAGCACACTGTTAGCCCTACCACACTTACAGTTATAAAAGCAATTGGGAACAAAATTATAATGACCAGTATTGCCTGCTTTCCTGTGTCAAAAAAGATTAATTTGCCAGAATAGTCATTATACACATACTCACGTATGCAAAATAGTTTTTGAGCATTTTTGCCTTTCCCTGGGTCATCTGTTTCTGTAGCTAGGAGGTATATATAATTATAGTACATCATGTGTTATTGAAAGGCACAGGTAGCTATAACCTACCATTAATTTCGTTTTTTTCGACCTTCACAAACTCATCCGAAGAGAGCCATGGTCCACCTGTTGCTCCGTACATCCTCAACAGACAATAGCTGTCATTTAATTATAAATGCAGAAACCACACATTCTTTAAACACACCATGACAGCGTATAATAAAGCTTTATGACAGTTGTACTAAACCTCACAGTCAAAAGAGAAGCAACCCAGCCTATCTTTCTGCTACCTGGCCTTGCTGCCACTGTCAACACTCGCTGTTTTTCCAGCAAACTGCGGAGGTTGATAAAGGAAGTTGCTATGCCATAAGTACAAAGTTGACGTATTATACTTGTAGCTATGACATTATAGGCTCAGGTGAGTGATAATAACATAGCTGGGCTAATTATCTTGCCATCCCTGGCTTGCTGATTACCCTTTTGTGTTTGGAGGGGAGGGTGTGCGAGCGCGCACACTCACGCGCGGTATATTGGCATGGCGGAAACAGTTGTAACAATGCTCCCTCTCTCCCTTCGCATAGTCCGGCGTAGTCACGCCACGAGCGCGAGCATCACGAGGATTTGCAGATACCCATCGCCCGTGCACCGCCTGTGATAGCGCACAGTGGCTAGACCTAGGGTGGGTCCACGTACCGCTAGCGGTCCTACGTATCCCACTGCATTATAGAACGGTTATACACACCTAAGATGGTAAAGTTCTGAGCGCTATGTGTATAACGTGCTGTATCTAACTAACTCACTGCAAATTTGTTCTAATACGCCAACTTCCCAACTCCACCAGTTAGACAAAGAGGCAAAGAGGCCTCTCCCCGATATCCTGCTGGACTGGCCCTTGCATTCTGGGAAGAGTATATACACCCACCCATCGTTGCAATAGTATAACCACAATGTCACGTCATGTGCTTCAGAATCATTCCCTATCCTGCATCAGCTAATGACAACTGGGCCTGGGCTATATTATACGGATAAATCCCCTGTTGGCATTCACAATTTTTGTTACTGGATGTGCCACTGATGCTAGAGTGAGACAGGTGCCATGAAGGAAGCTTGAGTTAGAAAGAGAAAGGTCTTGTGAAGAAGCCCATCAAACAGTCACACAGCAACACTCCATACTCAGATAACTGCTTACTTGGGGTTACTGGAACAGACACATCAACGTAGCATAGCTTATTTATACGCTGATAAACTACTTATACTTTTGCCCCAAGCAGTTAAAATGAATAGTTATAGTCGTTTGATGGTATTTGTAGCACAAGGTTCGTAGTTAGCGAAACTCTGTTTTTTACCGCCCAGAATCCTGTGTCTGCAGCCCTTACAGTGTGGATCAAAATGGAGGCCGTCTTTCCCACAGTCCTAAACATAGAAATAGGCTGTGTCGCTGTATCGATTGGAGGTTTTGGCTAAAGACAAGGAACGACATTATACAGTAGTTGAATGTGTTTCAGCTTATAGCTACACACAGGTGTTGAGAGATTTCCACCAGCTGAATTTCCTTCTGGGATGATAAACTAATATTTAACTTTGCCCCATGCTCTTGTGAAACCAGTTCTGTGCATACATTAGCCATTGGCATCAGGTTCTTTCATGACTATGGGTCTTCATGGATTATTATAAGAGATAATAATTATAATTGAGGAAATTTTGCAGTAGAAGGGTGATGAAATACATTGCATCTACATACATAGTATTTTAAGCAGCCTAAACAAGAATTATAAAGAGTCAATTTTCTTATGTAAAAGATATGCAGTGTAATAACTACGTATGTGCTTGTAACAGTGCTAGAGTGTCTACTTTTCACTTTGGCTGGTGTTGCAGTAGATACTGTACCACATCATTGTGGTTGTTGGCTCTGGCCATACTCAGAGCAGTGTTTCCATCCTGTAGAGACAAATAGACATCCATTAGACGTGTGTCAGATGAATATGCATGAAGACCTCCCATTACTATGGTTGGCAAACAGAAGAGAACAGTTCGGTAGTACCCAGCCCCATATAGTGATTTTTCATGGACAGTGCCACACCTTTTTATTGTGTGCAATGGTAAACTGTGCTTTTGTATATAAAACAATGTGCATATGTGGGCAATCTTCATAAAAACTACAGAACGTTTGGTTAAGCACTGCCTGCTGAGCTGCCCCATAGCTAGAGAACAGAGTGTCGTTGGTTCGAGTCCCACCCAGGATAGCTCTCTTTCCTTCTTAAAATAGTTTGACACACACACTTGTGTCTATGTACACCCTGTGGTTCATGAGGACACATCATAGTGACTCTGTGGTCTACCTTATTAGGAATGTCTCTGGCCCCAGCTCCTAGCAGTAGTTTCACCACCTCTGAGTGACCTTGCCATCCTGCATAGAACAAGGCTGTGCTTCCTTTCTGTGTTGAAATTATAATACAGACCATCAAAGCTAATACGAAGCATTATGAAAGAGACAGGCATTTGTTCATTATCTTGTGTAGCACTATGCAAGTAGTTTGTTGCAAATAAGCGACAGTGGCACACTTCCTGAGTAGTTGTTGATTTTTCTTATGTAAAAGATATGCAGCATAATAACTACGTACGTATGTTCTTGTAACAGTGCTAGAGTGTCTACTTTTCACTTTGGCTGGTGTTGCAGTAGATACTGTACCACATCATTGTGGTTGTTGGCTCTGGCCTTGCTCAGAGCAGTGTTTCCAAACTGTAGAGACAAATAGACATCCATTAGACGTGTGTCAGATTAATATGCATGAAGACCTCCCATTACTATGATTGGCAAACAGAAGAGAACAGTTCGGTAGTACCCAGCCCCCTATAGCGATTTTGCATGAACAGTGCCACACCTCTTTATTGCATCCAATGGTAAACTGTGCTTTTGTGTACAATGTGTGTTTGTCTTCAAAAAACTACAGAACGTTTGGTTAAGCACTGCTGCCCATAGCCAGAGAACAGAGTGTCGTTGTTCGAGTCCACCCGGGATAGCTCTCTTTCCTTGAAAAAGTTTAGAATAGGTTTGACACACACTTCCTGTGGTTCATGAGGACACTCTTCCTTACACATCATAGTGACTCAGTGGTCTACCTTATTAGGAATGTCTCTGGCCCCAGCTCCTAGCAGTAGTTTCACCACCTCTGAGTGACCTTTCCATCCTGCAGCGAGCAAGGCTGTGCTTCCCTCCTGTGTTACAAAAGAGACCATCATAATAGAAAGTGTGTATGTATATGTCATAACATTATGACCCGAACAAGGCTGTGGTTCCTTCCTGTGTTGATATTATAATAGAGACCGTCATAATATAAATGAAATGTTAACATATACTTATGAAAGAGACTAGTCAATGCATTGATTGAGATATTATCAATAATCATTCATCTAATATCTTCAAGAGTATAACACTAGTTAATAGCCAAGTGCAGAACAATCCAACTGTGACACACTTATTCTTATCACTCTAAGAGTAGTTGGTGCCTGGGCTACCCTTGTAATAAAATCAATTGTGTGTGTGAAGTTAATAGTAGTAAAATCAACACCCAAATATGTGTATTTAGATACTTTAGGCAAAACATACTCCCCCCATTTCCAAGCACCATCCACTGACTCCCTAGCGAACACCATCACTGCACTCTTACTCACATTAGCCTTTAGCCTCCATTTCCGACAGTAAGCATGCACCACATCTATAAGCGTCTGTAACTGATCCTTAGACTCACTAACACCAACGAAGTCATCTGCAAACAAAAGGCCTCCAAGTCTCCCACCACTAGTTAAAACAATCCCAATCTCAGCTTCCTCTACCTCCCACAACAACCCATTGATAAATACGGAAAACAAAATTGGAGATAAGCTACATCCTTGAACTACCCCCTGATCCACATCAAATGCCTCTGATCGTTCCCCATCCAACAATACAGTACTCTTTGAATACTCGTATATCTTCCTTATGACCCTCCACATCTTCCCTCTTACCCCAAATTCCCACAACTTAAACCACAGGCCGTTACGCCACACACTATCGTATGCCTTCTGCACGTCTAGCATACATGTCTCCTTCTCTTCCCTTAGTCTACCCTGCACGAGTTCATTCAGCGTATACATATTATCAACACAACCCCTTCCAACCCTAAAACAAGCCTGACCCGCTTTCCCCCTCATCCAGATGCTTCACCAGCCTATTGTTCAATACCTTACAAAAGACCTTCCCAACCACACTCAGCAGAGTGATACCCCTATAATTCCCAGGATCCTCCTTGTATGCAGTTTAACACGATAGTGTTAAGCTAGGTTAATATTACGTGGCCACGTCACCGCCACACATGCGCACAGTTGGTGCTTAGTCAGCGCTCAATCTCGTGGCCCGGTTCTGGCAACTGGCAACGACAGACACTTGGCTGCAAAGTTATCCCACCCACCCTGTACCCCCTTCTATACTGTATGTTATTGTTCTCCATCAGCGCGAAAGCTGATGTGATCACGTGTGAAGGCTGGATGTGTGACGGATGTGGTACATGCGCAATGCCATCACACCTATGACGTGGCAATACCAGACGAGCTATATATCATTGCATGCTAGGTAATGAATGACACCTATCCATATCAGCAGACAGGGCGTGGCAAAGCGTAATGCGGTTTGACGGGTCTACCACTAGCCACGCCCAGGCAAAGGTGCCGTCCAGCCTTCGCATGTACTCCCATCACCTCCTACGGATCGGTAGTTACGGAGGTCGCCCGACGTAACCAGAGTATCCATGATTCAGTGGGGCTAGATTGTCAGCAGCCAAATGGAAATTCCAGGTAAATATTAACTCCCTTTGTAAACAGATTAACTATGAGGCCCTCCCTCCACTGTGGTGGCACAAACTCCTCACGCCAAATGACTGTAAACAGCTGTTTAAGTAACTCTACCATCCCTGACCCACCATACTTTAGAAGATCCCCCACAAGCCCATCATTACCACCGGTCTTGTTATTCTTCAACTTTCTAACACACAATGCAATCTCCTCCAAATCTATTTCCCTATCCAACACATTTTGCACACAATCTGTTGAAAACTCACACACTTTCTTATCCACTTCCTCTTTCCAACTATCACAAAGGCTGTATCAACACTACAAGTGCCCAACTGCCTCTAACACCTAACTTTACCTTTGTACTAGTCACTGACACCCCAGCACTATTCCTCAAAGCTGTAATCCCCCTCCTCTTACCCTTTGTCCTTCTACCAACAAATGCCCAAAATTCTTTCCTATTATCTTCAAAATCTGAATTTGCTCTTTCCACTACCTCGTTCCAAACCTCAAGCTTCTTCTGAACAACTAAATTCTTCACCTCCCTACGCAGTTTACTATATTCCTCCCATAGATAATCCTGACCCTCAAGAATTTTCTTGTAAGCCTCCCTTCTCTGCTCTATCTTCTGTTTAATCTCGTCATCCCACCACCTGACTGCCCTGCCACACACTACTACCTTCTCTCCTACCTCAGCCCTTGCCACCTTTTTTACAACCTGCTCCCACTCCTCTACAACAGCACTGACTAACCCACTTCCACTAATACACTCACTCACTTTCTCCCTGATGCTCTCTGAAAATGATTCAACCTCCGCTTTCAACACTTTGCTCTAACCCCCTCATCCGAAAATCTGTCTACACGCCACTTCCTTATTGTCCGCTTCTGCCTTTTACAACACTTCGTAACCCGGCCCAACTCCCAGCCACACTAGAAAATGATCCGAGGCACCAATATCAGTTACAAACCTGTACATCACCAGATTCCCTCATCAACTGCATATCCGTAACTATATAATCTATCAGCTTCAGGCTCGGCCTTATCTAGTCCACTCAGGCTCCGACACTAACTTCCTACTATTACATATCACCAGCTCCACCTCCCTCTCCCACCACGAACTTTCATCCACACGCTCTCCTCATACCTGACTTTACTTACAAACTCTATCTCGTCTATCAAGCACTCCCGAACCAATAACCCAACCCCTCCTTCCCCTCTACGACTACTTTGATTCTCATGAGGCTTTCCAAACCATCTATAGCCATCAACCGCAACTGCCCTCCCCTCCCTCTCCCAAGATTCCTGACCAGCTACTACATCACGAGTAAACGCATAGTAAAATCCCAGCCCATTAATTAGTGGTAAGTAGTGGTAAGTACCGCACGTGCGCCGAGGGTTTGCACTTCAGTGATTTTCATTAACCCTTGGCCCGCATGCACAGCGAGGGTTACAGTAGTTGTGTGCATGTGTGTGTGTGTGTGTCGACACTTATTCTGGCACTACAGGCCACGAGGCGCCTATTAGCGAAACCAGCGGCTTCAGAACTACACGAGCCTGAAAAAGAAAGAGGCGATTTTCCTGAAAAGCGAAAAAGCCAATATGCATAATCGCACTGGGCTTACCGCAACCTGATCCGCTTGCTCTGTGTACCTTGGAGGTTTAAGTCGTCACAACGAAGGGTGTGTATCGACTCCCGCATGCTATCTACTTGTGTAGCTAGCCCGTGTCAGACTCTCCACAAGCTACTAGCATGGAGACCACGAGTATATACATTGCAAGGAATACATCTCTATGATTTTTCCTACAGTTACCCATCTCATAACCATTGCCAACCAGTCAAAGTGCTGTGCAAGGACAATGAAGTTCCTGTGTGCAGTTGCACAAGGAAAGTGGATCGTCAGTTTTCAGTGTGAGTTGTATAAGAGACTGGGATATGTATAGTACAGTACCCTCGTTCCCAGTCCTTCCCAGTCCTTCCCCTCCCCGCAATTGTATGCCTGGAAGAGACCCATAAGCTATACACAAACTTACATGTGCATGTGCCGTAGTGTGACATTGCCACAATCATGTCAAAATCTTCCAGACCTCCTCCTTTAGTTTGTGGTGATTCAAAGGTCACGCATGTTGCAGCAGGAAGGCCTGGGAAACAAGCTACAGTATATACAGCGACGGCAAAAAGGAGACCGACAAGTGTGCCACCTAGATTTAGTGTTACATATGTTAAACATTAAATAGCAGCATATTTTTAATACCACTCTATAAAGAGGGAATCTGCACTTTAGGGGTCATAAAATGTCATCAAGAGAAGCAGTGGGTCGATGAAAGTCCATATGAAGTCCTAGGAACCATACTGGAAGATAGGAACTTCATTACTTATGCACCACAGAAAGGAAGAGAAAATGCAATGCTAAAGGTAATTGTTGTCAATAAGTCAGTCCCATAAGCCAAAAATATGATGGGTAACATACCTTTGGGTGTATTTACCAACAGGAGTGTGTGAAGTAGTGCTAAAACACAATGTAAATGTTACAGAAAAGAGGGGACATCATATTATATAATTACTAGGAATGCGCACGTGCATATTTTGCCTCGCGCCTGCCAGCCAATGCGTAAACAGTCCGACTGAGGCCGCTCGTGCACGCACTCTACTGACTGCACGCGAAGCCAGACTTCCTACGAATCTGCGCGCATGGCGGAAGCTAGACTTCCTACGAAGGACGGAAGTTGACATTCCTAAGTGTGACTAATTGACATTCTTAAGCGTGACCGACACGTACTTACATACGCATATCGCGAGAATACAACCCGGAGTAGTTGCCTCACGCTAACGTGCTCGGCAATGTATATACTAATGTACTGATAACAAAAGCACTGGCTTTTTTTGCATTCCAATGTGGGAAAGCATAAAATGAAAGGTTCAGCCTGTAGTACATAAGCATTAGCTACCCGCAACCGCACTGTAATACTACTGACGCGGACACAGTAATTATTCTTGTATGCTGGTTGAACACTCAGCAAATATTGTGTATGCCCTGGCTACAAATAGGTTAACCCCTGGCTTTAAAAGTTATACCGGAAAATACCCTCGGTGCTTATCAGTATCACTTTCTGGGCTGTGCCTTTGTGCTGATAAGCACGTTATATTCCCTAAAGCCATGGGTTAACCTTATACATACCGTTTCCATTAGTAAACCTTGCTCAAACCCCATCTTCTTTAGGGCAATATCGTAGTACCAGAAATTCTCGCATTTCCTTGCCAAAAATGCAATTTTGTTCTTGTAGTCAACGCAGTAATGGCCTGTGTAAAAATTTCTCCAATTTCGCAGGTTGCTGGCCAACTCTTCAGTGGCTGTGAGTTCTTCTTGACAGGGGATTTGTGCCAGCCACTACCATCTAAACTGGATCTAGAACACCTCATAAAAATGGCTGGAGGGACTGTGTTGGATGTTGATCCTCGAAATAGTAGTTTGTCTGAACATTTAATTCATCCTTATCATGCAGCTTCCAGTTCAAGCTATCTCATCGTACTGGCTAGTGGCCCAACCTTTTGCCCTGACACTCAAAAATATACCACACCATGTATATTCCAAGTGTCTCCATCATGGATTTTTGACTGCTTGTCAGAATTTAAACTCCTACTGTAGTTTTTGTATCTTGTTCGGACTGTTTATATTCTGGTGTAGCCCATTATCACACTATAGCACATGTTGCATTTAATATTTGATTTGTATGGTTGGAAGGGCAAAGTTTATTTTCTACAATTAGCAAGAAAAATCTTAACAGTACTGACTAGTGCTAGGTAGTGTTTATATACTCCACTTCTTTTAAGTTGAATGGTGCTGGAGTAATGAAGTGTCCAAGTAGGTGTAACCTAGAGAGACAGAGGGGATTATTTAGTACTTTTCCCATGAAAAGTTATGCCCATGGTTTGTGTGATCTTACCCTCATGACTCCTAATGTTATCTGTTGTGATACATCATGCTTTTCACCATCTTGGTAAGTTTTTGATGGCTGTATACTATAGACTTGGACACACCTGCAAGAGAAAGAAAGAGAAGAGTGCATCTCACTAAGAGCTATATATAGGCTTGCGTAAATTATGCCCATTAATTTTGAGAATGCTACACAGCGTTCGGCATTATGCCAGCATAATACGTAATTTTTCGGGAATACACACGCGCCGAAAGTTCCACGTGTGCACCCACACCTGTAACAAACTAGCTAACTGTTAGGAGAGATGTGATGACGGAAAGCAAGTCTAGTGTTTGTGGTGGCACTGGTGGCCTTGTTGAGGGCGACAATACTTCGTAATAACCATGCCTTTCCACGGGCTGAGGAATTTCAGCAACCACTTATCTCGAGTGGTTGCAGTTACACCCAAATGTGATGATAATCATTATGCGCTATAATACTTAAAGCATATGCGCACACACATGTGGACTTTCTGCTTTTTCAAAGGATGGACGGTGCTTGCAGAGCCTGCAGAACAAGCCTGCTTGACTCCAAAGCTCGTAGCACCGTTTGACATTTTTTCAGCAACGAAGGAAGTTGGAGCAGCTGAGGTGCGCAAAATTCTTGCGTCTTCTCTGAGCTACATGTGCAAGCAGTGTATATAATTCTACTCCCTTGAAGTACGCAAGTATATGCGAGCATATAAAAAGATCAGTGGTTTCTTGGCTACAGAACTCTGTGCTGAACCAGAAACAGTGAGTTATAGTATCAACCAGTACAAGGTCTACTTCCACATAGCAAGAAGCTGCACAGTCAACTCCTCTGAATCCAGCAAAATGGCAAAGAGTCTCATAGGACGAAGATGCACTTGCATCTAAAAGGCATCAGTTCACCACTACCTTCCCACCTCGCAAAACACTTTTCTCTCACCCCACTACCTTTGAAGCAAGATCTCCTGATGTTACCGTAAGCATTTTGTCTATTTTACTAGGAACTATAATATTATTTTAAAAAATTAATGCAGGTTGTAGTTTCACAGCAAGAATGGAAGAGTAGATACGTACTTCCATCTCTCTGGTTCTCTTAAGAGAGTTGGGAAGTACGTTGGTAGGGGAAACAGGCGATCAATTGCAGCTGTTGTACAAAACTCTAGATTAAAGGATGAGGTGGTGTCATGCTAAGAAATTCAACAGAATAATTATGTCAAAAGTATCTGTTCAGACACCCAGCGTATGACATCCAAGCCAGCACTGGAGAATTTCACGTGGTAAGAGTATGGCAGGAGTTGGAGCTAAAACGTCACTCCTTACTGCTTCTCTCACCGGTAACCTCCCACTGTCAAAGAAGGCACACACCGATGTTATACCTGCTCTATGTGTCTGTGCAAGCATCCTTTTTAAGCTCCAAAACCAGAAAGTAAATAAATGTTGTCAAGACAATGATCAGCTTAGTCGGACATGCCACAAAGCAGGTGTGTGTGTGTGTGTGTGTGGTTTTGAAGCCACATGCATGACACAGACACTTCACAATGCCTGCTCAAACCACATCCACAGGTGTTCAACAGATTACAGAGATTGCAACTCATGAAGGTGCTGAGGGTCACAACGAGAACGTCACTGAGTGGCAGGAGACATTGCAAACTCTACCCAACAAAATGTCATTATAAACCACCATTAGGATTGGTAAATAATGTAGCCTGCATGTGTCCACAATGCACACCTGGTTACATACTAAATTTAAAAATATGTTTTGTGCGCTACTCTTCTGCGAAACTTTTACCCCTTAATGTAGCCACGGTCGTGACGGTAAACGCAGACGCTCGTCGACATCATCCTCGTCCACAAGTTCGGAGCCAAAGAAAGTTACCCCTCTGCAAAGGGTGAAGGAATTTCCTGGTGAGCAACTTGTTGTGTCGAGTGCATGTAGGGAAGAACTCCACGTAAAAAGTAGCAGTCAAGAATCATATGATCGACGAAGCATGTTGATGCAAAGAAGTTGAGCATGAAAGAAGCTAGAGAGAAAGATATTGCTATTGCGTTGAAACTCTACTGATCACCTCGTAGGGGAAAATTTAACGGAGGCACAACAAGTTTTTAGGGTTAGAGTTGTAACTGTGTTTCTTAAATCTGCAGTTCCCCTTGGCAAAATTTGCCACTTTCGAGAACTATTCGAAGGTGTTTACCGACTTGGAGACAGACACACTCTGTCTGACTTAGTGCAAAAACAGGAAAAACAGCATATTGTTTCGGAGCTTAGTGGGTGTCAAATTTTGATTATCTTCGATGGAACATGTCGCCTTGGATAGGCCCTGTGCTTAGTAATCAGATACATTTCTAACGACTGGGCAATCAAGCAACGACTAATTTCCCTCAAAATGCTTCAGAAAAGCTTAACGGGAGAAGATATAGCGCGAGAAGTCATACCCACCCTCTCTATTGACTACCACGCAACTCCCACAGCCCTCCTCACATGTATGAGAGATCGCACTGCAACCAACAATGTTGCAGTGAGAACACTGAAGGTTCTCTACCCTAATTGTGTTGATATTGGGTGCTTCTCCCACACATTAGATTGTGTGGGAGAGAAATTTCAAACACCTGTGCTTGAAGACTTCCTTTCAGCCTGGATTAGTCTCTTTTCACAGCCTTAAAACAAGGCTCTCTGGTTTGAACAGTCAATAGTGCAACCAGGTGGTGGAGCCGCTGGGAGGTTATGGAACAGTTGATGATGCAATCTGGAGATGTAGATCCATTTCTGCAACATGATGAAGTAGGATCGCCAGCCATCGTGGTGACGAGGCTGAGAAACAATCTCTGACAGCATCACAAGAAGACGTATCTCAAGATTGAGTTTGCAGTGGTAATCGACTTCGGAAGGCCTTTTGTCACTGCTACCTACAACCTTGAAGGTGACGGAGCATTAGTGTTGAACAGCTATGAAATTATTGAAGAAGTTAAGGCTGTGATTCAGACAGGGAACACACCTAATATAGACGCTGATATACGAGAACGCTGTACAACCATGCCTCAAGGACAAGCTCAACCTTAAGGCCTATCCCAGAGATGTATACAGCCTGGCCTTGACTATTTCAACACACAACTTCGTCCAAATCTACATGATTCTCTAACAGCTTTCAAAGCTGCTAAACCTCACCTCATACGTAAGTTGGAGGCGATGCAACCAGTGAACACCTCGGCAGTTGATTCACTAGCTATATTCCCTTTAATTTAATCAGGATGAGATATTGGCTGGTTTTAAGCAGGAACTATGCTCTTATATAGCGAAGTGTTCTGATGTCGGTGCAGAAATTTCAGCAGTTGAGTGGTGGAAAATCAACTGCGATGGCCTTCCAAAGTGGTCAACTGCAGCTAAACAAGTGTTGCTTCTTCAACCATCGTCTGCTGCTGCTGAGCGAGTTTTCTCTCTTTTCACTGCCTCATTTTCCGAACAGCAATCACATTCATTATTGATGACTATGTAGAAACATCCGTAATGCTTCAGTAAGTTAAATGTACCTTCCTCTTCTGTTTCATTGTGTTGTTCTATTGCGTATTTGCACTGGTTTTACATGCATTCATTACATTGTATGTCATCGTAAGTCACGCATAGCACGTACGCAAGTGGACTCACACAGCAAAGAAGGGAAAAACACAAAATAATACCATTCGAAAAAGAGTTCGACTTCTTTGCAGAAACATCTAAGTGCATTTTTCCATAATGCATAGTATTTCGAGAGGAATCCTAAAGTAAATGCGTTTCCTGTGTGGAGAATACTATGTTCTTCACGTGAAATTTGCACAGAAACCTAATTCACCTTTCCTGTATGAAAGTGTGTCATACTGAAAACAATCCTGGGAATTAAACAATAAAAATGGATGGCATAAAAAGATGGAGACAAGATAGGGATATTATGATGCACAGTTTACGAACATAGCGAGCACACTAACACCTCCAAACCCATTACACACAGTGTGCCACTCGTAAAAACTCAATTTGGACTCTGTTACGGTTACTCAGTAGCTGTTAATAATACATTGTTTTCGCCGTATTACAAGCTATAGGTCCTGTGCTGAAACAGAGGCAAAAATATAGGGATTCTGTGATGTGTTTGGAGGTGTTAGCGTGCTCACGATCTGTTCGTAAACCGTGCTTCATATATCCCCTCCCTATCTTGTCTCCATTTTAAAAAAATACTAGAGTGTACAAGTAAATAAAAATGAAAAAGTGTGGAATATAGGGATGCCATAAAAAGCAAGGAGACAAGACAGGGATGACCTGGGCATGTGATGCAGTAGTACAATGGGATGATTTTTACATCTTCAAACTGACATTCTTGCTCATGTACCACACAAGCCTATATTGTCGCCACTCTTACTCATGACATGAGTTTTGAATACTGTAGTGTGAAGACTGGCAAACGAATTCTGTAGGGAAAGCAGCATTGTAAAACCGGTTAGTTGAGTGAACATTGAAGTAAACACAGTCACGATTCAAAACTGAGGACCTGTCAGAGAGGGCATTTGCTACCAGTCTTACGTGCATAGGAAACGAGTCATAGCTGCACATCATACGAAAAGAGATCACTCGTGCTTTGAAACAATATAGGGCGTAAAATTTACGTGAGCAAGAAATATCAGTTTGAAGATGTAACAATCATCCCATTGTACTACTGCATCACATGCCCAGGTCATCCCTGTCTTGTCTCCTTGCTTTTTATGGCATCCCTATATTCCACACGTTTTTAATTCGCAGAATTTGTATTTACTTGTCTCCTTTTCCTTTTTTTACGGCATGCACATGCATTGGGGCATAATGTCCATATAAAAAGTAACATGTATTTATTGCCTCGAACTCTTAGTCGTCATCTACATTTTTATTTCACTTCCAAAGTATATAAGTGTATAACTTTAGGAAAAACAGCACTTAATTGCCTGAGGCTGTTTGTTGTTGTTTACAAACTTGTAATTTATGTTTCGATGAACTCTCATCATGGTACATCAGTGTACCAAGTTTCGTTGTTAGAGGATCCACAATATGCAAGTTATAGGCACAAACATGATTTTATTGCCTAGGCTGTTTGTTGTTGTTTACAAACTTGTAATTTCTGTTTTGATGAACTCTCGTCATTGTAAATCAGTGTACCAAGTTTCGTTGTTAGAGGACTCATAATATGCAAGTTATAGGCACAAACATCATTTTATTGCCTGAGGCTGTTTGTTGTTGTTCACAAACTTGTCAATCGACTCTCATCATGGTACGTCAGTGTACCAAGTTTCATTGTTCAAGGACCCACCATAAGCTAGTTATAGGCACAAACATATGTTTTTATTGCCTGAGGCTGTTTTTTGAACTTGAACATTTTGATACTAATGATGGGTTGCATTTGTGTACAAAGTTTTATCATTCTGGGTATTTGCTCTACCTAGTTAACACACTTTTGGTCTATATCATAATGTATGGCCTGGGGCTATTTTTTTTTGTTTTTTGTTGTTTACATGTAATTAATTTTAAATTGCTCTTGCACTTCATGTGCATAGTTATCTTAAGTTGTTTTTTAGATACGCCTGTCTAAGCTGAACAACAACAACAACAACGAGAAGGAGAATTGAAAACTGACTTTTTGTATAAATCAAGTAGAGATTATGTGATTTAAGCTATTTCTTTGATACATGCTTTTTTTGACGATACGGATTAGTCTGATGTGTCAAAAGTTGGATCTGATTGAAACTGAAAGTGAAACATGAAATCCTGCGAATTTAAAAAAGAGGCATAATTATAGGGATGGTATAAAAAGAAAGGGAGACAAGATAGGGATGTGTATTCTAAGTTCTGAGTATTGTATTGTAATGGTGAATGTTTAATACTTCACCTAGGCAACAATAAGCCCAGGGCCCTCGGCTCACTAAATCGCGTAGTTTCCGCGGCTCAGCATCTAACCTATACGTATTATCTCTGGGGAAGGGGGCAAGCCCGTATAATAATTAATAATAGAGAAAAATGGCTGTTGTCGTCATGGTATGCATACCATGTTTCATGTGTGGCTGGTGGAAGGGGTGAGTTGAGGTGTCTTGGAGGTGAGACAGACACCTCATGTTCATATGGTGTATGTTCGTTTGTTAACGGTTCCGCCCATTGCTCTGGGTGCTGGGTGCATGGTCTATGGCCCTAGTGCTATGGCAGCCACCTGAGTATTATTATTGTAAACAACAACAAATAGCCTTATTTAAGTTTACTTCTTCACTCCTCAAACTCTCCAATGGTAGCACACACAGAGATGAAACTTGGTAAGTATGCCTATTATATCATTTTCATCATGATTACATGTTTCCATGACGGCCGCATATTGTTCGAAAAGGCCTCAGGCAACTTTCTTTAAATTACTTCTTCACTCCTCAAACTTGCTAGCATGGAGATGAAACTTGGTGCGCATGTGTATTACATCGTTCCATGACGACCACAACAACAAATAGCCTCAGGCACTTTTCTTTAAAATTACTTCTTCACTCCTCAAACTCACTAACGGTACCGCACATGGAGATGGAACTTTGTACGCAAGTGTGTAACGTCGTTTCCATGACGACCACAACAACAAATAACCTCAGGCACTTTTCTTTAAAATTACTTGTTCACTAATTACACTATGCAACTGATTAACCTTCCCCTTCTACCATTGTCCCTAACACATTCCTTGATATGCACATCGCATGCCCAGTACTAGTACCAATCAACTAACCCAAGTAATGTGTATTAGGGCAACACATACTCCCACCATTTCCAATCACCATCCACTGACTCCTACGAACCCATCACTGGCAACTCTTACTCACCATTAGACTTTTAGCCTCCATTTCCGACAGTAAGCCAATGCACCCATCTAGAAAGCGTCTGATCCTTAGACTCACTACCACCACGAAGTTCATCTGCAAAACAAAACCTCCCAAGTCTCCACCACTAACTTAAATCAATTCCCATCTCAGCTTCCTCCACCGCCTCTCACAACCATTGAGTAAATACGGAAAACACAATTGGAGATAAGGCTCAACATCCCTGGAGCTTAACCCAACCCCCCCCGTTCCACCATCAAAATGGCTCTGACTGGTTTCCCATTCCAACAATAACGCACTCTTTGAATACTCCGTACATCTTGTTTATGACCCTCCCCATCTTCCCTCTTTACTCCCAAATTCCCACAACTTAACCACAGGCCATTACGCCCACACATCGTATCCCTTCCTGCCCTCTACAAAGAATGCGTATTCTCCCTTCCCCCCTTTAGTTCCTACACTGCACGAGTTTCTTCAAGCGTTAATATTATCAACAAAACCCCTTCCACCTAAAAACCATCCTGGCCCTCATGCAATGCCTTGCCCTCCTCGTCCCCCGAGCTTCACCAACCTATTCTTCAATACCTTACAAAGACCTTCCCAACCACCTCAAACGAGTGATGCCCCTATACTTCCCAGGATCCTCTTCTTAACAGGTAACTATAGGCCTCCTCCACTTGTTGTGGGCAACAAAACTCCTCAAGCCAAATAACGTAAACAACTGTTTAAGTAACACACCATCCCTGACCCCACCAGTACTTTAGAAGCTCCTCCCCCACAGCCCATCACTACCAACCGATTCTTCATCTTTCTAACACACAATGCAATTTCCTTCATATCTATTTCGTATCCACCACATTTTCCCCCACAATCTGTTGGACATTCACACACACTTTCTATCCACTTCCGCTTTCCAACTAACCATTCAAGGCCTGTATCAACACTACAGTTGCCAACTGCTGATAATAAGCCTCTTTAACACCTCTAGCTTGCCCTTGTACTAGTCACTGCACCCAGCACTATTCCTCAAGCTGTATCCCCCTCCTCTACCCTTTGTCCTTCTACCACAATGCCCAAAATCTTTCCTTTACCTGCAAATCGGAATTTGCTCTTTCCACTACCACCTCATTCAAACCTCCAAGCTTCTTCTGAACGAACTAAATTCTTCACCGCCCTACGCAGTTTTTCACTATAACTTATGCCTGCCATAGATATCCTGACCCTCAGCATTTCTCGTGTAAGCTCCCTTGCTCTTGCTCCATCTTCTGCTTAATGTATCGTCATCCACCACGGACTGCCCTGCCACACACTATACCTTCTCTCCTACCTCAGCCCTGGCACCGTCCAACACTGCTCCACTCCTCTACAACATCACTGACTAACCCACTTCTCCCCTCCGCTAATACCCTCACTCCTTTCTCCCTGATGCTCTCTGAAATGATTCAACCTCACCTCCGCTTTTCACGGCCTCACTAGACTTTGCTCTAACCCCTCATCCGAAATCTGTCTACACGGCCTTCCTGATTGTCGCTTTCTGCCTTTGTACAACACTTGTAACCCGTCCACGTCGCCACACTAGAAAATGATCCTAGGCACCAATATCATTTTTATTTAACCCTGTACATCTCAGATTCCTTCATCACTGCATATCCGTAACGATTAATCTATCACGGATTTCTGCTGCAGGCCGGCCTTACTCTAAGTCCACTCAGGCTCTGACACTAACCTTCCTACCATTTACATATCACCAGCTCCACCACCTCATTCAGAATTAAAAAATCATCCCATATTCCAACTTGCATTACAATTTCTCCCTCCCCAACATCCCCAATGACATCATCAACATCAGTAGATCTAGCCCACCCTAGGCAATAAATACTTGTAAATGATGTTTGTGCCTGTAACTTGCTTATTGTGGGTCCTCTAACAAGGAAACGTGGTAGCTACACTGATTTACTATGATAATAGTTCATTGAAACAAATAACAACAAACAGCCTCAGGCAATTAAGTGCTGTTTTTCCCATTACTTTGTACACTTATCTACTTTGGAAGTGAAATAAACATGTAGGTGACGACTAAGAGTCCGAGGCAATAAATACATGTTACTTTTTATATGGACATTATGCCCCAATGCATACAAGTAAATAAAAAAATTGCGCGAATTTAAAAAGTGTGGAATATAGGGATGCCATAAAAAGCAAGGAGACAAGACAGGGCTGATCTGGGCATGTGATGCAGTAGTACAATGGGATGATTGTTACATCTTCTAACTGACATTTCTTGCTCATGTAAATTTTAATCCACACCAGCCCTATATTGTTGCAAAGCACGAGTGATCTCTATCGTATGATGTGCAGCTATGACTCGTTTCCTATGCACGTAAGACTGGTAGCAAATGCCCTCTCTGACAGGTCCTCAGTTTTGAATCGTGACTGTGTTTACTTCATGTTCACCCAACTAACCGGTTTTACAATGCTGCTTTCCCTACAGAATTCGTTTGCCAGTCTTCACACTATTCAAAACTCATGTCACGAGTAAGAGTGGCGACAATATAGGGCTTGTGTGGAGTAAAATTTACATGAGCAAGAAATGTCAGTTAGAAGATGTAACAATCATCCCATTGTCTACTACTGCATCACATGCCCAGGTCATCCCTGTCTCGTCTCCTTGCTTTTTATGGCATCCCTATATTCCACACTTTTTTAATTCGCAGAATGTTTTATTTACTTGTTAAACATATAACTAGTCTGGTTGACCTGGCTAAGTTGCACAACACATGAATTGAAACACTTCATTTGGTGGTGGAACAATCGGTTTCTGGCATCCCTCTGGCAGGCAACAAGGCATAGCTACTCTCCAGTCAAAGCCTTGGCTGTGCGGGATGTTAGTAAAACAACAAGTGACATAGTTTGAGGGCCATACAATCTGACTTGGTGTACTCTGGTATAAAAGTTCACTCTAGTATGAAGGAAAATTACGTTTGGTTTGTTTGAAGCTGGCTTCAGTTTCTGTTGCAAGGTTTAGATAATGCATTATAGGCTCTGTCTATGGTCACTCTCAACAGGAACGGACAGTTATGTAGGTTAATCACTAAGTACGGTAGTACTTACTGTATAGGGATGGGCATGGTACCTAGCATCATAGATGTATGGGGTGGTTATGATAGGCGTTTTTGTTCATCTTCTCCTTCTTCTTCTTCTTCTTCTTCTTAGTCTTCTTCTTCTTCAGATTCAACACCCATAACTCAAAAACGAAACAACATAAAGTAATGAAATTTTGTAAGAATGTACATATCCATCACCTGAAGAGACTGGTTATACTTATTTCTTTGTAAATAACATTGTTTACTGTAAACAAAAACAAATAGCCCCAGGCAATACATTATAATGGGATCACATGTGTCAGTATAACTCACAAATGGTAAGAGCTATGTGAACGAAACTTTGTAGACATAATGTATTTAATCACCAACATCAAAATTACAACAATACATGTTTGTAAACAACAACAAATATCCTCAGGCACTTTTCTTTAAATTTACTTCTTCACTTCTCAAACTCGCTAAAGGTACCACGCATGGAGATGAAACTTGGTACGCATCTGTGTAACATTGTTTCCATGACGACCACAACAACAAATAGCCTCAGAAACTTTTCTTTAAAATTACTTCTTCACTCAAACTCGCTAACGGTACCACGCATGGAGATGAAACTTAGTGCGCATGTGTATTACATCGTTTCCATGACGACCACAACAACAAATAGCCTCAGGCACTTTTCTTTAAAATTTCTTCTTCACTCCTCAAACTTGCTAACAGCAGCACACATGGAGATGAAACATGGTATGCATATCATTTCCATGACGACACAGGCATTTTTTCTCTGTTATTCATTTTTATAGGGGCTTGCCGTCTTCCACAGAGATAATACATAGTAGTATATAATAATGAGTGGAGACAAGTAAATCAAAAATCCTGCGAGTTTAAAAAAGAGGCATAGCTATAGGGATGGTATAAAAAGAAAGGGAGACAAGATAGGAATGGGATACATGAAGCATGGTTAATGAACAGATTTGAGTATATACGCTGACACCCCCAACCCCATCACACAATCCCTATATTGTTGCCTAGGTGAAGTATTAAACATTCACAATTACAATACTCAGAACTTACAATACACTACCAAGTAACCAACACTCTTATGGAGTCCAAGTGGAGTTTAAGTGTTTCTCATATATAGGCTTTTCTTGGATTTTGACTCGTGGATTTTCGAAAAAAAACAAACCTTCCGTTCCAAAGTTATGCCGTGAAAAGGCCAATATGCAAATGAGTTACAGCTCACCGCGAGCCGTTTGTGCACACTTTCGGGACCAACGAAACGCAGAAGCTACTCGAATGGCAACTGGTCGGTGGAATGTTGCTTCAGACGCTAGCTACTGCTGCAAGCGGCCAAAGACAAGGTATGCTAGAGGAGCACCGACAGTAGCCAAAGCAAGAGTGTAAGCGCTCAGCTCAATGTAAGCGCCAACGTTGGATCGTAGATACATCAATGTTTACTGAAAGCCATAACAGTGGTTAGCCAAGTTACTGAGACGCTGAGGGTTGCGCACTTCAGTGCAACTGCTTTGTTTTTTAACCCTTAGCAAGCCGCGGACATACACAGTATATGCCCAGAGCCTCCATAAGTGATGCAAGTCTAAAATTGAAGTAAAAATGAACAAGTCGAATGATGTCATCGGTTGGAGGTGGAGTTCGACAAACTCTCCAAATTACAATCTGTAACTGACTGTCCATGTATATGAATTCAACCAACCATCTAGTATATACAAGTAAATTAAAAATCCTGCGAATTAAAAAAAAAGAGGCATAGCTATAGGGATGGTCTAAAAAGAAAGGGAGGGATGGGATACATGAAACATGGTTAATGAACAGATTTGAGTACACTGACATCCCCAACCAGATCACACATTCCCTATATTGCTCCCTTGTGTGCTACAAGCTAAAGGTTACTAAAAGCAGGCATTCTTTCACCATGTCACTGTTGTTTTTAGTAACATTTATACTGCCACATTCCCTTTAATTAAACTCCACTTGGACTCTATAAGGGTGTTGATTACTCAGTGTATTGTAAGTTCTGATGGTGAATGTTTAATACTTTGTGATGGGGTTGGGGTGTCAGCATACTCAAATCTGTTCATTAACCATGCTTCATGTATCCCATCCCTATCTTGTCTCCCTTTCTTTTTATACCATCCCTATAATGCCTCTTTTTTAAATTCGCAGGATTTTTTATTTACTTGTAATAGTGGGAGACACTAGGACATCGATCTCACTTTGTACGTTCCAATGTAGACTTGCTTCGGTTTAAAGTTTGTGTTTTCAGCACATGTCGCTGTGTAAATGTGATTCGCATGACCACATAGGCCGTTGCTTGAGAAATACGTAGTGCCTGAGTGCCTGCCCATGCGCTATGCTCAACACACAACATTCTACACCTATACATGCATTGGTGTATAATTATGCTTGTAAATAACAAATGTAGCAGATATTGGACCATGAGATGCAGCTGTGGAAATCCTTCTCCACTAAAATGTACTAGAATGCATGTTTCCTACATATTATCGTGCTCTACAAATCTTCTTACTATTTACCAGTCCCAGTGTACAGCATATAGCAACAGTGTATTAGACAGTCTGTAGACGCTCTAGCTATATAGGGATGGCACGTGTGAAATCTCACGTGATCCGCGTACTAACAACTCTGCGAGAATGACAAACATTAGCAATAGTCTACGGGCCCATATCTACCTATACATGTTCCAAAAGACCCCATACGCACCTTCAGTCGTCCCCGTGAGAATTCGCTCATACGCGATTTCACGAATTTCGTGTAACCATCATCATCATAATATTCTTCTTCTTCTTCTTCTTCAATCCCGCTATCTCCTTTCCAGAAACAGTTGAAGCGCTGATTTTTTCGCTGAACGTCTCCAAATTTGCCGGAGGTGTGCACGGACATGAAGCGATCGTTTCTTTCTTGTCGCAAGTGACTACGGTAGATCGTGGAGCTCTTCCACGGTCGAACGTGTAACAGGTTTATTTTGATACTATTCAATGATCCAGCGAGAGTGTCTAGAGTATCATCGATGCGTGGGATGAACTGAACAACGCCATTTGCTGCTAACTCAGCATCAGTGAGCCGCGCCGCATGCGACGGGCAGGGGCGTTGTTTAATGCGCTGTGCGCGCGTATTACCGGCAGACCTGCATGGAGGAACTCTCAGCCTCCAGTGCCTTCCATTTCCAACTGGCTATATAGCTTGCTGTCGATTTGCAGGAGGAGCAACTTGGTCGAGTCTGCGCGGTGTTACGCGAGCATTTGCAGTGCACTCAAATGGGCCTTCATTCTTCCCCCCCAAGTTGTAGCTATAAACCACAACCATGAGCAATAACCTAATGACATCCTTGTTGAAGACAATACATGAGGTGAATGCGGTATCTAGCTCCTGCTTCTGGCACTAGCAACTGCTTTCAACAGTTAGAATTTGTCTATCATAGCTTAGCTGAACACCAAAGTGACTGTAACAATAAAATGCAGTGTTGTCATGAGTTGTTAAAATTAGTGGAAACAACTGGAAAAAACATTTCTTCAAAATGAAGGGATGGCTTGAAGCACCAAAAAGGAAGAGAAACAAGGGGTCATTGCACAACGAAGATGCATATATACCATCCATCTTCGTTTTATTCTTTATTATACGTATAAAGAGACCAAAGATTATTATAGGGATGGTGTCATGTAGCGTTGTGCACCTTCATTGTGTAATGACCCCTTGTTTCTTCCTTTTTGGTGCTTCAAGCCATCTCTATATCCCTCTTCATTTTGAAAAAATTATTTTTCCACTTGTGTAAGTTAAATCGCATTATTAAATACGCTCAATAATTATATTATACGTAGACTATGCTACATCATCCTAAGCAAAAGGTGATTTAATATAAGTGTGATGTCACA